TTTTTATAGTAAGTTCCCCAAAGTTCGTAGATTCGCGAGCAAATTTTTTTTTGATCATCATTAAGTGTGTTAAACCATTGGGGTAATTTTGACGAAAGATTAACTTTAACAAGCGCATCAGAAGGCTCTTTAAAATGAAGATTCTTGATTTTCTGAAAATCCTCACGTAAAACATCAAATTTATCCAATTTATTGTCTAAAAAGTCTTGTTTAAGTTCTTCTATAGTTGTATTATGACGTTCTAAAAATTTTGATATAGCAGAATTTAAAGTTTTAAAACCACATTTTAATTCTAAATTTACGTAACTTTTTGAGTCTGTATTACTATCTCCAAGTATGTTTAATAAGCATATTGCATTCTCGTATACTTTTTCGTTTGCTAATAAACAGTTAAAAATAACAAAAAAATTCCAAAACATATACATATATATGGGGAAAGAAAATTTATATTTATATAAAATTTAAATTTTTAATAAAAATTGAAAAATATGATTATTGAAAAAAATCAACTAGCAACTAATAATTGCATATTTATTTAACATTTTTATTAAAAATTTTGATAGTTAAATTAACATTTTTTTGTAGGATGAGATATGAAATTGTATAAATATTTTAACATGAATTTTATACTTTATTCTACTGTACGGATCATTGATGGAGATTATTCTTGATCATTTATTTTTCTATTTTTTAAAAAATTTTTTAATAAATGTAACCCAAGATCAAAAAAGAATAAATATTAAAATAAATAGAAATAAGGTTTTTAGGTAAAAATATATATATTAATGTATAATTTTTAAAATTTCAATTTTTAGTTCTTTGACTGACACGGCAAGAATTATAATTATTTTGATTAAAAAACAAATGTTACATGAGTTAAAATTTATATATGTTTTATTATAGAACAAGTCAAAGTTTAGTATGATAAGTAAAAAATTTAAATATGTAATTGTTAAACATAATTATTTGTATCTTCTTTTCAGTATAAATTAATCTAGATATTACTTTTTCTGAGTGTTTCAAGCCACTGCTTTAAGTCATTTTCATTATGATTACTTTTTTTCTGCAATGTCTCTTTAACTGTCAACAGATAAGCTTTCCGTGAAACCTCCCAGGTCTTCCACCTGTGGTTAAACAATATTCTACATAGTTTCTTAATATATACCTGTTTATTAGTTCAATATTTTCTATTTATCCTAAACAATTTCTTCCCTTTGCCAAAAAATAACCTTAAATGCTTCTTGCTAGACTGTTCATCCTTAATTGAGAAAAGATCTATTCATAAGAATAAAATACCAGAGTTGGTTAATTCATCTCAAGTAGAAGAGGATAGAGCTAAGATGATCTTTGAAAATATTCAAAATATTAAGACTTGTCCTATAATCAGAAAATTTCTCCTAGTAAGGATAGAATTTATTGAGTAAATAATAATACGTAGATACATTCTTGTACAACATAAAATTAGACCCCATGTCTCCTCGGAGTAATCTTAAATAGAAGAATGCTACAATGTAGCAGGAAGAATAGCTATGTAATTAGCAGTTAAAGTTAAACAAATTTGATCTGAGAAGGGATTGGCTTAAAACTGCAAATTATGCCGTAGCATTTCGCTGCACTGAGTTGTGTTTTTAAATGATATATTGAACTGGGCATCAAGCTACAACCATGCTGATCGCAGGTCTTAGTCTTGCATGACTGATAAATATTAATTAATTCTAGAAGGGTTCCTGTCTTCCTACAAGTAAATCCCTGATGGTATGCTGGTGTGTGTCGACGATTATTTTATTTTGAGTTTGGTGTTGTAGAAGCTTTCTTAGATGACAATAATTTATTTTATTTTTTTTTGTGGCTTTTCTTTGGTGTCCCGTTAAATTTTAATTTTTTTTTGTTTTGGTGCCGTAGAAGCTTGTTTAGATGACAATAATTATTTTTTTTTAGTTTTAAGTTCTCTATAAAGCTTTCTTAGGTGATTTTGTTTTAAATTAAACTCAAAATTTATTTTTTTTAAAAAGTTCTACGCACTAGCTCTCAATATTTAATCTATTCGAAAAAATATTTTATTCCTTGCATAGAAAAGAACAAAAATACAAGGTTTATTTTAAATATTTCTTTACTAAAATTGTGCTTTAAAGAAAAGTACAACAGTAAATAAATCTATTTATTTTATTTTTTCACATAACAATAATATATCCAAATAGATTTATCTCATTTATAAAATATTATTCTAACTTATTCTTTTTATAATTAAAGTATAATCACATGTTTTATCTTCATTAATTTCTACAATTTCTACATTATATTCAAAAACAAGTTCTTCACTGCCTTTTATAACAATATTTCCTTTTTTTATTTTCTCGTGTAATTTACAATTAATCACACTATCAGTATCAAGTGTTTTAATTGCAATTATGTTATTTATATAGAAATATAAAATATAAGCCTTTTTATAATTTTCAACTTGACATAACCGTTCTTTTTTACAAATATTTTTCATTTATTAGAAGGGATATTAGAATAATGGGCAGAAAAACTAGAAAAAAGAGAAGTCATCTTAGTAATGATCCTCTACTAATTTTGAAATGTTTAACAGACAAAATTTCGTCTAATAAGTTAAATACTAGTGCAAAAACAGAACTTTATAAAATGTATATTTTTACAGTTTTACAACTGGCAGATGATAAAATATCAGGATATATATCTCCATTAACAGAAGAACTTATTAAAAGACTGGGTTTGTATTTTAATAAAATGTGAATTTTGTAATGGATAAATTTTTTATTTGTTAAATTTTTATTACCCTTAAATGTCTGCCAACTGCGAATTGGAAATTTTACTTCAAAAGTCTAATGAACTACTTAGCCGTAAAGAACTTAATCTTAAAATTCATCATGAGGAATCTGCTGTGCCACCAAAGAAAATTATTACTGAAAAACTTAGTAAACTTTTCCAGACGAAAGCTGATAATATTATTGTTTACGATATAACTAATTGTCCTGGTACTCATTCTTCAATAGGTAAAGTTAATATTTACAGTAATTTGGATGATTTAAAAAAGGTTGAAAAGTCTTATATGGTTACTAGAAAAACAGGAGAGGCTACTTTACGTAAACCTAGAAGAACTAGAAAGGACGAAAGAAAAAAAGCTTATAAGAGATTTGGTACAGTAAAAAGAGCCATGAAGAAGGCAGAAAGAAAGAATAAATAAAACTAATTTATTATTTATTTAATTTATTGAAATTAGCAAATCTACTAAAAGCATTGGGCTTTGTAACTTCTTCTGTTTGTTCAGTATTTTTTATTACTGGTATAGAACTTCCATTGTCAGTCATTTTTGTAAAATTGAAGTTAGGAGGATTAACATTTTGATACATTATGTGAGGTTCGTTAAATATATTATTTCCAGTGTTATTTATAAATGGCTCTGCTTGAGGAATAGCTTGCACATTATTACAATATTGCGGTTGTTCATCTAATTGGAATGTACTATTAGAATTATTTTCTACTTCATTTTTCTTTAAGGTAATTTTACATAAATTGTCAAAATTAGTAATAAGATCAACTTCAAGATTACAGATTTTATTTTCTTTTACTTCTGGCTTGTAATTTATATTATTTTTAAAATCAATAATTCCATGGTTGTACACAAATGGTATATTAATACGACTTTTTGCATTTATTTTAGTATCAAAATATTTAATACTATTTTTTATATATTCATAATCAACACTGTTGTCTAATTGTAATACATTAATCATATAAAATAATTTATCTTTCATATCTGTTTGTAAATTATCTAGATTCTCTAGCTTTATAATATTATTGTAAAGTGTGCCTAATTCAGTATCTAAATTAAATTTAGGAATCCTATATTCTGAAATATTAAATTTATTAACTTTAATATTCTTAATATTACAAATAATTTTTTCTGTTGAAGCTTCCAAAAGATCCTTGTTTGACTTGATTTTTTGTTCATCATCACTGATAAAATTTTCATATTTTTTATCGTTATTTATAATATTTTTATTAAACAAATCTACCATTTTAGACGCTGCTTCGTCTTTTAGATTTACATTAATTTTTTCTGACTTTTTATCTACATCCATTGTATTACTTTTATTAAAAACAGGAAAATCTATTTCGCTACTTTTATTATTTACATCTTGTTTGCTAACTTCTAAATCTTTTGAATACGAAGAAACATTTTTTTCACTTACATCAGATGATTTCTTTTCACTAAAAATATTAGTTTTACTAAAAGTGTTAAAACTAAACACGTCACTTTCTTTTTCTTTATCTCCCATTTCAAAAGAAGATATTATGTTTTTATTAACAGAATTATTCGTATTTGAATCTTTAGTACAAACAGTATTATCAAACACAGTTGTATTTTCACCCGCTTCTTTTTTATTTGTATCAATCACATTTTGGTTATTTTTTATAGTATCAAATATGTTAACAGCATTTCCTCTATCTACATTTTGGCTAGCTTTTGTCAAAAAACTATGTACCATACTACTTAAATTTTTATTATTTAAATTCTCCTCTGGTACATTTGTCTCAGATATTACTGCCATATTACTTAGCATTGTTTTATTGTTAATAAAATCTTTTTGCTCAGTATCATTAAGATTCAATTTAACATCACTAGTATTCAATTTAAAATTACTTAAATTTGATTCAACATCACTAGGATTTGATTCAATTTTCGGAAAATTTTCAAGCAAGCTGTCTTCATCATATAATTGTTGCTCAGTACTAACAGTATTATCCTCTTTTATTGAAGTATTATCTATAATATCTTTTAGTGTATCATCCTCTTTTATTGTAGTATTATCTATAACATCTTTTAGTATATCATCCTCTTTTATTGTAATGCTATCTATAACATCTTTTATTGTATCATCCTCTTTTATTGTAATGTTATCTATAACATCTTTTACTGTATTATCCTTTTTATTTGCATCACTAACACACAAATTGTGTACATCAGAATGGTTTTCTATTTCATCTGTAACATCTTTAAAGATATTATTACTAAGTGAACCTATAAATTTTTTAAATTTAAATTCCTTATTTTGATAATCTTTATATTTATAATAAATAATATTTCCTTTACAATCAATTTGTGTAACCATATATTCATTACTATCTAATCCTCTTACATACAAAGGATTTCCCTGGTCATCACATAAAACAAAAAAGTCTTCATTTAAAATTTCTTCTAACTCATCATCAAATACAGAAATTGTACTTGATTTATCATTTACAAGTATTATATACTTATCTTGTACAACACAAGAATAGTAAAATACTTCAGTAGTATTTTCAAATTCAATATCACAATATTTAACTGTATTTTCACTAGTAATTTTTTTATATTCAATTATATTATCATCAATACTAATTCCACTGTCTAACAATTTTTTTTGATTTATGCTATCATTATTTTTTTCATTATTTATGCACCCCGGTTTGTTTGTTATAGTAAACAAATTGAAATCTAAAATATAAAGTGTTGTACCATCACTTAATAATAATGTATTATCCTGTTTAGTAGCCTGTGTTACAGAATATACTATTTTTGTATTATTAAAAAGTATAAAATCATCATATATTATAATACACACATCTTTAAAAGTGTATATTCTTGAAAATGATTTAGAAGATAATTTTATTTTTATTGGTGTATTATTTATTTTTTCTAGAATCTTAATCATTTAAAGGGTATAATATTTTTTAAATTTAGAAATGCAACAAGAATTAAAATGTTAGCACTTATTTTTTTAATATTTGTGAATTATCTTACAACTGGTACATTAATTTTTATAACAACTAGTACATTTATTTTTATAAATGTAAGTATGCTTGCAGAAATAAGGATATGTTTATAATGTTCTGTCAAATAGATCAGATTTAATGTTGTTGTGACATCTCAGATGTCACTGTATTCTTTATATTGTATTATTAAATTATCCTTAACTTGGATATGTCTTGTAAATATATTTGACAGAAACACTTTACAATAACTTTTTTAAATTAAATTCATGCTTTTATCCAACAATATTTAATAAAGTTCTTATTGTTTAGCAAAAATTGTTTGTTAAATTTTGTATTAATTTTATTAAAATATTGTTTGTTCTATAAGTTAAGTGTACAAAGATAAACATGATTTGTTAAGAAGTTATACATACCAAAATAAATAAAACTTGTAAAGAAGGTTTAATATTTACTTACACTTCATATATTTGATAAGTTTTAAATGCTTCTTCTGTTATTTTCAGCTTAGAATGATCACATCTACCTTAAGCTGTTATTTAGTTATTTTTTTAAATGCTTCAGTTCAGTCATCTATTATACGCTCTGGATGTAACCACGATAGTAGACAATTATAATACAGCTATATTAAACAAGAAGTTATTTTCTGATATTATTTATATTTAACTAACGTTAAGACTATTTATTTAATTTTGGTCTAACATCTTTTTAGGGTTAAATAATGAGACAAATTCTGAGGAATACCGTTTATGTAAAGAAGTGCTATGACAGTAAACTTTATGATGAATGTCAATTTAATATATTTAAAAAAATACTTAATTTTCTGTTTTTATACTTATTTATGCAAATTATAACTTATATAGGTATTTGTGTAAATTATTCTTTAAATGTGTATTTTAATTAAGTATAAGTTATTACATAAATTAGATACAAATTAAAAAAAGCTGTGTACAGCAATAAGCCACTTAATAATTATTACAATACAGCTGTACATATCTTTAAATAATTAATTTACATTTAAAATTTATATTAAAAAAATAGAAAATATTTTTTAATCACAAAAATACTTATTGTCTAGTGCTGCTAAACATATACTAAAAGCTTTCACTGCTGATAAGGGGTATTTATAATCCATCACATAAGTATTGTCTCCTACCTTCCCAAAAGTAAGAATTATATAAGTTTTATCTGTGGGATGAATTAGTTGAAAATTCTTTACACTGGGAACAGTCACCCTTCCATTAAAATTTAGAGAATATGACATATTCTCTGCATTATATAAAGGTTCCTTATTTACTAAATAAAGATGACCAATTTTAACTATAAAAGATCTTGGCTTCTTCTTTCTAAATAAAGAAGTAGTATATGTTATTGTCATGTCTTTACTGTAGTAATGACTTCCAATTAGATTACGTTTAAGAATACTTATACTTTCTTTTCCTTGTAAAATATCAAATCCACACATACGCCTTATTCCAATAAGAGAAGATTCACTTAGTGCATTTTTATATTCATACTCATTTTTATTATTAACTGTAATAGTTCCTTGACTAATATAATTAATTTTAATTGGCTTGTCTAAATGAAGGATGTTCTTTTGATAAGGATTGATTGGAAGATCTTTATGCATGCATAAAAAAAATTTGTTTATTTAAGCATTAATGAAATTGTTTTGTTTCATAAAATGTAACAAAAACAACAAACTGAAATGATAAAAACAATTTTTTAAATTCTGAAATAATGTATCAAATACAACAAAATAAATTCTAAAATATTGGATCAAATACAACAAAATAAATTGTTAAATATTCATTTTTTTATTTTTAATACAACAAACTGTAATGTTAAATATTCATTTTTTTAAATTTTGAAATATAACAAACTGTAATGTTAAATATTCATTTTTTTATATTTAATAGAACATACTGTAATGTTAAATATTCATTTTTTTAAATTCTTCAATGTAAGTATCTATAGATGCATTTCCAAAAAAAACATAATCTTCTTCTATTTTTATAAAAACTTTTTCATACGGTAAAATGTCAATACTTTCTAATACACTATCTATAAAATCGCATCCTATATTAATTGTAGCTGTAATAATATTAATTAGAAATGGATCTATGTAATTTGTACTATAAATAAGTTTACTGTGTTTACAAACCCCAAAAATTTCATGTTTCATTAAAGAGGGTAAAAAATTAACATTTAAAACTTGTTATATTTATAAACCAGTAAAAATATCTATTGATATATGTACAAACATAATGACAATCAAATTAAGTATAATAATTAATTAATTGGAATTATACTAAATAAAAGATTTTTGTTCTTAAAACTATTAAAAAATTTCGAATTAATTAAAATTTGTTAATACTTAAAAAACAAGATATTTACATGGTTAAAATTTATTTGAATATTTTTTATTTTTAAAAAGCTTATCTCGTTTTAAAAATCTTGGTTGTCTTATAAAACTTCCTAAATTAATTGAACTTACTACATTAAACAAGAAAAGTAATTAGATTAAAAATAAAAAAAGTAATTATTAGAAATGATAAACATTTAAGACTTGTTCTGGAGCGGTAGATCGTCTTTCTACAACCCCAAATTATATTATTTTTTATTTTGGAATTTTCTAGAAAAATTTTTTATTAATAAACTAGCTTACGCTTTCACGTTTGAAGCGTAACTTTAAATTTAATGTACACTTATGTGCTTTTTTTACGTTATATGTTTTATCTTTATGCGTGTGTATTTTAAATTTTAAAACTGCATTTTTTAAATAAAAAAATTCTGCAATAGCGCATAAGTTATTATTAGAAAAACTGATTATAATTTAGAAAAAAATAAACAAAAATAGTGTACCGTTCATAGAGTAATAATTCTAAGCTGTATGTTACTACTTATTAATAAAAAAATATAACAAAATCGAACAAAATTATAAAAAAGAAGGGTTGAAAAATAACTATTTAAATTCAAACTTTTTATATATATTGACTAAACTAAGCTATCCCGTTTAAAGCGGGAATACAAGTACATTGCATGCTTTTTCTTTTTCGGTTTATGTTGCGTCTTTGCGCTTGTATGTATTGTTTTATTTTAAATTGCACTCCTCTAACTTAAAAACTCTGGAATAGCGCATATTTTACAAATTGAATAGTTAAAAAAACAAAAATAATGTACGTATATAGAGTAAAAATCTTTAAGCTAAACAATACCGTTTTTAAATAGAAAATTAGAACAGAATTTTAGAATTTTTAAAAAAAAAGATTTTAAAAATAAATGGTTAAATTTTTAAAAAGAAGCGCATTAAGGATGATTAAAGAGAAAAATAATTTATAAAAGAATAACAAGAAAAATTTAATGAAAGTATTTATACTAGAAATATTTTTAAGTGGTATCTATTAACTGGGAATATTTTCCCAATCTACCACATCTAAATTAAAATAGTTTTTTATTTTCCTTTTTTTACAATTATCAAATGCGATGTAAAAAACAGGACAATATATATAATGAAATATATTTTTATAAAAAAATTTATATGAATTCTTTATGAGCTGTAATTACTATTTAAATCGTGAAGAGTGTACCATTACAAAATTTAAGCAACAGTGAAAAAAGAAATTTAAAAATTTCGGCTATATTTAAAATAACTACCCAGTTTTGTTTATAATTGCAGAGAATATTTTTTCTTATTTTAAAATTTTGCAATGTAAATTCAGAAACAAAATCAGCTTGAAATTTATTATAAATGTAAAATTTTTAATAAAAATTAATAAATTGTCTCAACATGAAAAAATCTTTTATTGAGATTTCCTGTTATCTCTATCAATCATAAATTTAAAACTATACTATTTAAATACAGTGATATTATATATAGGAAATATTGTTTAATAATGGATTTAATGTTGTCATTATACAAATTGTATTGTTTAGGTGACTTTGTCGCTGTTTATGTATTACAAAATTATAAAATTTTTTTTGTTATTCACAATATTTTGCAGTTATCAATGATTTTTTCCCACGCAGTCTGTAAAAAATATAAACTTTTCAAATATATCGTTCGAAGAAGACATAGATTTTTAAATAAAAAGTTTGCAAAAAAAAATGCTGCACTATACTTACACAATAAAAAATATTATAGCAATTAAAAGTACTACTTATTTTGTTCTAACGATAAAATTTATTTTGTTGTATTTTTTGTAATCTATCGTGTGAAAGGTTAATAATACGAATATTGGTCAATTTTAGTGTATTGTTGCTATCCAATCATAGCTGTCAAAATTTTGCGATATAAAACAAAAAATAAATTTATCATTAACAATATTATGGATAATCATAATATTTATTTTTTAATTTATTAGTTAGAACAGAAACACGTTTTAATACATAAATCAACAAACAAATACTATAATAGATATGATTGACTTTTATTGATAAAAGTTTTGATGAAATCGAAACTACAGTATATATAGCTTTGTCAAATTTGACAAATTCTCAAAGCGGTTTAGTTCGGAAGAATTTCCCTTTGATAAAAATAATGCTATTTATACTAGTAGTAAAACGCAAGTTTTACTACTGTAGTTGGTTATCTTTAGTCCTGATTTATAAGACGTAACAAGTGTGAAATTAGAGATGAAACTATCACTTGTGTTCCACTTTGGATCTGGGCCTACGACAAGCTTAAAACAAAATGTAAAAAATTAAACTTTTAAAAAATTGTAATTAAAGTATTTTTAAACTTTGTAGTTTGCTTAATTACTAACTAAAAAATAATAATCTTCTCCAAACTTCTGGCAACTTTATTTTTTAATTTTGTTTATTCTTAAAAAAAATCAAATCTCTTAAAATTTTTTAAAAAAATACATTAAATATTTTTCATTTAAAAATCAAAAAGTTTCAAACAGATATAGAATCAAGTAAACAAATACTTTAAGCAAATGAGCATATGTTAGACTACATCATGACATATAAATATTTTATTAACAATAAATGTTCATTCTATTATACTTTAAATTTGTTATTTATAAATTTTTATTATTTTAATTAAAATACTTTACAGAAAATAAAAAATATAAATTTCAAAATTTACCCCATAAAATGTTTAAATTCTTCTATCTTTTTACAGGAATATATACTTCAACAAATTTTGAATCAATCAATACGAC